TTTTATGCCTTACTATACTATGACATTTTTTTGACTTTTTATGCCTTATTATACTAAGACTTTTTATGCCTTATTATACTATGTCATTATTATGACATTTTATACCTTACTATACTATGTCGTTTTTATAACTTTTTTTGCCTTACTATACTATGACGTTTATTGACGTTTTTATGCGTTACTATACTATGACCTTTTTTTGCCTTGCTATACTATGACATTTTTATGACTTTTTATGCCTTACCATACTATGACGTTTATTGACGTTTTTATGCCTTACTATGCTATGACGTTTATTTACGTTTTTATGCCTTACTATACTATGACCTTTTCACGCCTTACTATACTATGACATTTTTATGACTTTTTATGCCTTACTATACTATGACTTTCTTATGACTCTTTTTGCCTTACTATACTATGTCTTTTTTATGACTTCTTTTGCCTTACTATACTATGACCTTTTCACGCCTTACTATACTATGACTTTTTATGGCTCACTATACTATGACTTTTTATGCCTTACTATACTATGACCTTTTTACGTCTTACTATACTATGTCGTTTTTATGACTTTTTTTGCCTTGCTATACTATGACGTTTATTAACGTTTTTATACCTTACTATACTATGACGTTTTTACGACTTTTTATGCCTTACTATACCATGACTTTTTATGCCTTATTATGACATTTTTATGACGTTTTTATGCCTTACTATGCTATGACGTTTATTTACGTTTTTATGCCTTACTATACTATGACCTTTTCACGCCTTACTATACTATGACTTTTGTATAACTTTTTATGCCTTACTATACAGTGACTTTTTATGCCTTACTATACTATGACCTTTTCACGCCTTACTATACTATGACATTTTTATGACTTTTTATGCCTTACTATGCTATGTTGTTTTTATGACTTTTTTTGCCTTACTATACTATGTCTTTTTATGACTTTTTATGCCTTACTATACTATGACGTTTTTATGACTTTTTATGCCTTACTATACGATGACTTTTTATGCCTTACTATACTATGATGTTTTTGCCTTACTATACTATGACTTTCTTATGACTTTTTTTGCCTCACTATACTATGACCTTTTTACGCCTTACTATACTATGACGTTTTTATGCCTCATCATACTATGACGTTTATTGACCTTTTTACGCCTTACTATACTATGACTTTTCTTTATGACTTTTTATACCTTACTATACTATGTTGTTTTTATAACTTTTTATGCCTTACTATACTATGACATTTTTTTGACTTTTTATGCCTTACCATACTATGACGTTTATTGACGTTTTTATGCCTTACTATACTATGATGTTTATTGACCTTTTTATGCCTTACTATACTATGACCTTTTTTTGCCTTACCATACTATGACTTTTTATGCCTTACTATACTATGATGTTTATTGACTTTTTATGTCTTACTATACTGTCACTTTTATGACTTTTCCCCCCTATTGTACTATGACGTTTTTACGACTTTTTATGCCTTACTATGACGTTTTTATGACTTTTTATGCCTTACTATACTATGACTTTTTATGCCTTACTATACTATGATGTTTATTGACGTTTTTATATTTTATTATAATATGAGGTTTTTATATTTCATTTTGATCAACAATGTTCACCCCAAAAAAAAAATCATAATTCATTCATTATTTCATTAAATTTTTATTGTAATAACGATGTACAGACCTCATCTGCAATTTATTTCAGTCAGAAAAAAAAAAAAATACAAGGGACCATGAAAAAAAAGAAGGAATGTCAGATAAAAATACCAAATCCAAAACAACAAGTACAGCACTTGAAGGTTATGTATCTAATTTTTTAGTAAGCCGCAGTAAACAATGCTCGATTTAAATGAGCTGACAGTTTTAACAGACCTCAGGTGTTCATTCAGGAAGCTTGTTCCACAGGTAAGGAGCCTAGAAACGAAAAGCTGATTCTCTTTCCTTTATTCTTGGACACTGAGTTAAACTGTCCCAGAGGTTTGATGTGGATGCTTTGCAGCGTACAAGTAGATCAAAGATGCATAAGATGAATTTCAAAATGTAAAATGTGTATATGTAAAAGTAGTTATCTTTTAACAGTTAATGCAATATTTCTGTGAAACACCTTGAATCCAAGTTGAAAGTCTACACTTCAACCACATCTTGACTGCTTCATTTTATATTTTTTGTCGTGGTGTAAAGAGACTAAATAAAAAATTTTAAAAAAGTGTCACTGTCCAAATACTTATGGACCTGACTGACTGTTCTGCATGTTTCTTTCCAGGTTGCAGGTGCAATGTGAGAAAAAACAAATAATCCAAGTTCAGTGAAAACAGTAAGTTCCTTGCACCAAAGGAAACATCAACAGGTGAACAGAGAAGTGAAGTTTGATGGTGGTGACGCTCAGCTGTGGCCTGCAGTATCAGTCTTTCACCTGCTCTGGTTAATCACAGGATTAAACAGCCTCATTGTTCCCTTTTACAACCTGACCTTTGACCTCTGACCCAGACGGGACAGGGTGCTGTATTCAGGTCAGAAGTCACTTAATCCCCACATCTAACTCCTTTGTAAAACTGAATCCTTAAGCTTCATAGGCAGGAAGTCATTCTGAGCTTCTCTGGATCATTACAGTAAATCAGATTAGAGGTATTAATTATACAAAGTACTAATGATCCGTTGATAAAAACTGGACGTCAGTTTACCTGTTGTTAGATTTTAAGATGGTTTGAGTAAAGTTCCTGCTGGAAAGTGAAATTTAAAACAGCTGCTCTATCGCCCCCATGTGGTGTTTCAAAGAAAAGATCCAGAACTTCACTGTCATCTACTCAGTGTTGTGTTTCCTGTTTCTCGGACATTTGTCTCATATTTAGGTTAAATATTGGACCGGTCAGTCTCCTGTGAATCTAAACTATTACTTTCACTTCACTTCTCCTCTCATTGGTGATACAGTCTGATCTGGATCAGGTCTGGTCTGCTTGGTTTAGTTTAACAGCTTCATTAAAGAGCTTTGTCCTGGAGTCAAACTTTTCATTGAATTTGTTTTGATGTAATTTTGAATGTCAGGATTGTATTGTTGTGTCCCATGATTAATTCACATCGTATCTAATCAGAGAGATTCAGGATATTATCGTCACGTCTCCAACACATCACACTTCAAAGTAAAACCAAGTGACACGAGGAGAAACTGTGAAAACATTCAGTTCTTTAAAGACTCCTGGAGACCTGCAGAGACCCTGCTTTTCAAAAAATGAAACTTTATACTTGTATAGAGTAAAACCAGCCTGATGCTTTAAAGGTCCCATAATTTACATTTTCCTGATGGTGGACTGCTTTGTTGTGACATCACAAAGTTCCAGAAGTCCTGACGGCTGGCCTTAAGGCTCAGTTTCTGAATACAGGCTGTGTGCATTTCTCTGTGGACTGAGGCTTTGATACTTTCACAGTATTAATATAGAAGCTAGAGCTGATCTATAATCACACTACACATGGACACAGACCTTTACACTGGAGGAGCTTTGAAGTGTGTTGTGATGAGGTTTTGTTGATCATACTTTCATTAACGACGTCTGCAGATGGAAATAATGTTTAATAATGATCTTTGTGTTACAGTCAGAACTACAACAAATCAGAGTCTCCTCAGAGGAAGACTTTCAAACACTAACACCATCACTTCTTCTTCTCCTCTGGCCTCCATGAAATATAAACTAACTCATCGTAACTTCCTGTACTAATATTTTTACAGTTTATTTTCTTTCACAGGCAGCTCTGCTCAGGTACGACCTCCCCCTCCTCCTCCTCTTCCTCCTTCTCCTCTTCATCAGTTTCCATCTCACACAAACACAGCTGTGAACAGGTTTGGCACTGACAGTGTATTTAAAAAAAACTAATCAAAACAGTCTCATGTTCAGAGAGATTCAGCTTCACATTCAGGGAAAGTGTCTCAACAGTGACGTTCATCCTTCAGTGACGAACGTCCTCCGTTCTCCACGTGATTCGAATCAACCTTTATTGATTCTGATGAATTCGTAAAGTCTCACTTTTAATAATAATGTTTTTTATAAAATCAGTCGGTTGAGACGTGAATGGAAATGATGGAAAACACAAAGTGAGCGGAGCAGCAGGTTCCTGAAGTTTCTCAAACATTAATCTGGATTTGAGAGTTTTTTTAAATTAGTTAATAACTAAAACTTTTCTGTCCTGGACAGTTTAATGACACTGAGTTATGTTTCCACCGTCAGATAAAAACTTTCTTCTGTCTCTCCAGAACCTGAGAACTTTTCTTATTAAAGAAGAAACAGTCACACGTTGGAAAACAGTCTGATGTTGTATGAACCAGGTCCCAGTAAAATCCTCACTGGTTCTACTGGTCTAATTACAGAGCTTCAAACTCAGCTGTGTGCACCGCTCGCATTGGCTCATGGGTAATGTAGTATTTACTGACAGAAACAAACATTCAGTGAAAACACTTCAGGCTCCAGCAGCTCGTCACAACCACCGACACTGATTCACTAACAGTCAGTGTGTTAGTAAAGACTGTGTCTGATATGTACAACACACACACACACACACACACACACACACACACACACACACAGACACACACACACACACACACACACACACACACACACACACACACACACACACACACACACACACACACACAGACACACACACACACACAGACACACACACACACACACACACACACACACACACAGACACACACACACAGACACACACACACAGACACACACACACACACACACACACACACACACACACACACACACACACACACACACACACACGGTTATGTTACAGTGTTGTCGCTCCTCGGCCCTCTGATCTCCACATGTCCGCTGGAACATGTCGGCCTCAGAGGTCAGAGGTCAGTCTACTGTTTGTATTGACTATTGTGACGTCTCTATGGTAACCGGGTCACGGCGGGTGGGGTCAGAGCTTCGGCTGCTGACGGCCGCTGCTGCTGCAGTCGTCTCGTCTCCGCCTGAGAGCCGCCGCCCCCTAAAGGCAAGTCTATGTAAGTGCAGAGTTTCTTCTTCTTCACTCCGATTGGCTCCAGCGTCAGGTTCCCGTCCTCTGATTGGCCAGCCAACAGGGAACCTCTCCACACCTGGAAGATCAATGGAAAACAGTCAGTTCACTCTAGACTTCACTGACATCGAAGCTGAAACAACCAATCAATCAATCACCAATTATTCTAATAATTGTTTAATCTTTAAAGTGATTTTTTCACATTCTTTTGCTGCAGTGTCACGTTTGTGAGAATCAGCTGTTTTTATTCGTTTCATTTGAAACTGAATTAAATATTTTTGGGTTTTTACAGTTTGTCTCAAAAAATTCTCCTGAAGACGTTTTAAAAAACTGGTTTTACTGACGTTTAAACCAAAGTGCTACTAAAGAAAATAATTTACCTGTGTGTGTGTGTGTGAGTGTGTGTGTGTTGTGAGTGTGTGTGTGAGTTGGTGTGTGTTGGGTGTGTGTGTGTGTTTGAGTGTGTGTGTGTGTGTGTGTGTGTGTGTGTGTGTGTGTGTGTGTGTGTGTGTGTGAGTGTGAGTGTGTGTACCTCTCTCTCAGCGTTGGCTGGCTGCTCAGGAAGCTGAGCTGCTGCTCCAGACGACAAACTCTGAAGGCCAGGTAACAGGAGGACAGGACCAGCAGGAAGACACTGAGACACCGCACACACACACACACACACACACACACACACACAAACACACACACACACATTTATTTTACAGCTGTCGTTATTAATTATGTTTCAGATTAAGATTTTATATAAAAATCCCTTCATAAAATACACTGAGAACACAATGTTAGAAATTAAACCAGAGGTTTCCTTGGTGTCCTTGTTACGTTTTGTATTATATACAGTATATGTATCATATATTATATATAATATTTCACAAAACTGGAAAGATGAGAGAAAAGTCAAAAAAAAAAAAGAATATACAGTGGGATTTGTGTGTTCATCTCTCATGAATCATCTGACGACCCCTCTGCGTTATCTATTGGCCCTTCGGAGGGGCCAACCCCTAGGTTGGGAACCACTGGACTACACTGTCTAACAGTATAAGTGTAGGTACTTTAGTTTTGCTCATGACACATTTGTACTTTTATTTGTGGTGCAGTATTTTCACTTTGTTGTATTGATATTGAGGAAATATATATATATTTATATATGCTGTAGTATACACACACACACACACACACACACACACACACATACATA